AACAAATTTTACCTCTATCAAAGAGGAAAGAGTTACATCCAAAGATTGATATAGCTAAAACATCAGCCAATAAATTGCTGGAATGACAAACATAACGAAAGGCAACAGAGTCAAACGGACCAAAGATACTTCTAATAACTTGTAGAAGTCCCTTGAGCTCCAAAGGTGAGCTTCCTGCCGAGAGGTGCAAACACAACACCTTGCAATCAAAGAAGACATTTAATCTTCTGATTCCAAAACGATCGAACTCCGATATACCAGTCTTCAAAGCCAGAGTTTCTGCACTCAAAGCTGTGAAGTCTCGAGATGCTGAAGAATGAGACGAACCCTTCGCACTGCTAGTGATCCTGACTTGAAATATACTCCATGTAACAATGCCTTTCAACACAAGAAGACAAATTGGGAGAGAAAACAACTCCATGAAGGAGTAGATTAAGTTGTTAAAGCTAGCACAAGAGCTAGTGATCGGGACTGAACTCGGGACAACAACATAAACTAGACTAAAACTAGTAGTAACCTCAATACAAGGTAAAAGTGAAACGCATTTTCGATAGTCAGAGAGCACGATAACCAACAAAATGAGCGAAAACAAAGGCCAAAATTCAGACTCTTGAAGGCTCAACGATCATTACCAAGCAACCAAATACTCTTTCTTATAAAATCATCATACTATATCAGATTGCATTCCTTAAAAAAGGAAGAGAAATACTCATACCTAACACTTAGGGAAACAAGTTGCAATGATATCTCCATAAAGGAGTAAGTTGTGAGACACAGTTTTTCCATGGAAGAGGAAGCTAGGTCATGGAAATTCTGATATTGGGAAAAATGAACTTCACATGGCAGTAAGCAGTCGTAAGAACTCGAACCTTTGATACAACTCCATATGTTCATTTGATTCATTTGAGCGAGGAAGTTTCAAACTGAAAAACGATGAGGTGAGGCAAGAGGAGAGTCAGGCGGATCTGGTGGAGGGTCCGGCATATTTGATGACTTTGGCGGTAGTGAGGACTCACGCTGCTCCGAAGGAAACAAATTTGGTGGCTTTGGAAGAGGGAAGATCGAGGATGGGCTCGTCGTCACCACGTTGAGCGAGAGATGTCTCACCGACGGCAAGGATCCACTCGGCAGAGGGAGAAAGCCATATAAGAGACGTGGCTTTCCAGACTGCACGAGATCCTCACCTACTTGTGAGATGGTTCTTCAGGTAAATCCATATAGGATCCCGAGAATGAGAAGCATGGCTTCTCAGACGACAAGATTGATGGAGGACCCCAGTAGATCCA